AAACATTAATTTGACTTGATTGGCACAAAAAATAAAATATCCAAAATTATTTAAGAAAAAAAACAAACAGCATAAAACTAAAATCAAAAAAACAACTTTAACATCTGGTTTGACATTTTCAGAGGTAGTACAAAATGGCAAATCCATGAATCCAAGTTTTAGCGAAGATTCAGTTGCTGAAACAACTTGCTTAAAAAATATAAAAAATTCAGACGGTAAGTCTACAAGGTCCTGCCCAGGTTCCAAAATACCAAATACACCTGAGATATACATATATCTAAAAAAAAAAAAAAACAAAACAAAAAAAATTATATATTTTATATATAACCCTATATTGAGTGTTGTGGTTGTGTCAATGTTGTGGTTGCATCTTAAATTGAATTTGAATTTGAATTTGAGTTTAATGTTCTTTTTGATTGGTTTTGTTATTTTGTTTTTATAAAAAAATACAAGAGATTTAAGCAGTGATTAAGGTCTGGAGGGTCCAAGAACAGCTGAAACTAATGCGCTTTCTCACACACACACACACACACACACTAATATACTCAATCACCCACACACTTACACGCTGCAACAGCCACGACCACGACCACGACCGCGACCACGCCCACGCCCAAGCCCGCACAGCTGGAAAATTGCATACGCAGCGCCAGTCTGGGCAATCTAGAGTCCAGTGCGGAGCCATCCAAGGCCGTTGCGGCCAGCTCCAATATGCTAACCATACCCGTTGTCCTTTGCGGCTTTCTGCACGGCGATTTCTTTGGCTCCACCTTCTCGCTGCGCAATCCGCGCATCACGCCCGCCCAGGACCTGGAGGCGGGCCACATGACCGCCGAGCCGTCGAAAACCAGCCTGAACGACACACAGCATGCTAACCAACCGCCCAATGCCAGCCCCAGCACAAGTCGCGGTCGCACGGGCCGTTTCTTTGCGGCGGCATCGCATATTCTGGCGCCGGGCGGCGAGCGGGCATTCAATGTGGCAAGTGCGTGAACAAAAAAACAAAAATTGATGAAAATAAAAAGTAAAACAAGAACAACAACAACAACAACAGCTTGCCTAAGTTTCAGCTAGACTCGTTATGCCCCTCCCGAAGGCAGTGTATATTATGTAAATGGCTAGGATTTGGTTTAGCATGCGCTCTCTCTCTCTTTGTCTCTCTCTATCTCTGTCTCTCTCTAGACACTGTCGTAGTAAATTAGATCAAATGCATTTTGTTAGCCTCTTTGTAGTAGTATACGTATCATACATATATATATGTATATAGGGAGTCTTAGCCATTGCTGGACTCCCACAACACCTTAACAACTCTGTTCGCTCACCTAACGCTACATGGCCACAGACACACACAACGCTTGCTTTACTCCAACGCTTTCTCCTAAACTAAATACCCAAATATACCAAAAATACCAACAAAATACCAGAAAATACCAAAAAATACCAAACAAGCATAAACACTTAAATACCCTATAATAATATTGTGATTTGATATAAATGTAACTAACCTAATATCTGTATACTTATTGTACGTTCTATATTAACTGCTCTATATGCATATCTCTATAAATACATATGTGTGTGTATAACGCTACTTGTATGTGTTAATTGTGTGTTGTTGGATTGACTTGATTGAATGTAAAACAAAAATCAAAAACATAAATATATATGAAAACCAAACCAAATAAATTGCCGCTTAAACATGCGCGCGAAGCAAGCAACCAAAACCTAACGCACAAGTCAATCTCTCTGATTCATAAATTGCCCCCAGATGAGGATGAGGAGCCGCGCTGCACGCAGCTAACAAATCGGCACAAGATCGCCATACGATTCATACGCAAGGTGAGTATACCCTATAATAATAGGGCATAGATGTTGGATTTTTCACTTTTCGATTTCCTTTGGCAGCTCAAGTATTTTGTGGCGCGGCGCAAGTTTAAGGAGGCCCTGAAACCGTACGACGTCAAGGACGTTATGGAACAGTATGCAGCGGGTTAGCTTAGCTTATAAACTATTTAATTTTCTATATTTATATATATGTATTTATGTATGTAAATCTCTCCTCAACTGTTTGCAGGTCATGTGGATCTATTGGGTCGCGTCAAAATGCTGCATTTGCGGTGCGTATATTTAATATATAAATATAATATATAAATATACAAAAAAATATATATATACTAGCTTATTTTTCACTTTATCTTAGATCACATCCACATAACTGCCCTCAATTATATTATATATATACTATTTATATTAATTTCCCATTAATTTCCCGAATTCTCCTATTTTTCACTTAATCTTAGATCACATCCACATAACTGCCCTCAATTATATTATTTAAGTATACTATTTATATTAATTTCCCATATTCCCATATCCTTCCACAGTCTGGATCAGATCCTGGGCAAACAAGGCTCCAAGGCCAAGGATGTCTATGCTTCAAAAATCAGCTTAGCCTCGCGTGTGGTTAAAGTCGAGCGACAGGTAAAACAAATAAAACTCTAAAAAAAAACTGAACTCTTGCATTTCTCAACAATCAATTCTCATACCAGGTCGTGGACATTGAGGAGAAACTCGATATACTGATCAAGGCCTATATGGAGGATCGTGATAGATTCTTAGCGCTTCCGTTGCCAGCCAATCCCAAACCCAAAATACATTCCATTAGCCCTAGTCACAGTCACAGCTTGTCACATCACACACACAACCAGAACATGATCGATGTATGGAAGCGAACGGCTACGCTCAGCGTACATCCCGAGCTGGTGACGACGCCGACTGGCAGCTCGGATGCCTCCGCTCTCGATCATCTCGATGGCAATGAGACGGCGCTCACCTCCACACAGACGCTGACAACCGCTACAGATGCAATTGCCACACAAACACCCATGCCTCACACACAGCATACAGCGACCAATACAAAGGTATTTCACAGCTCTCTCCATTCGTTCGATTCGCTAAGATCTATAGACATATAATTCTAGTCTTCCGTGCTTAACTCATATCAGCTACCGCCTGAGCAGCAACAGCACAATGATGTATTTATGACTGATTTAGAGAATAGAACTAAAAAACGCGTTACTTTAAGGTGAGTGGAAGGGAAATGTTCTGGGAAGTTCAATTTTAAATGCTCCTGCAGATGATACAAGGATTAAAACAGAAAAAATATATTATGAAAAAGTAGAAATTTTCTACTATTGGAGCTAATATACTAAGATAATATATCTATATACCAAAATACTCCATAAATTATAAATACATTAAAAAAAAAAATAAATTATATCTAAAATATGATTTAAGAGATTTAAAAAAAAAAAATAAAATAAAATAAAAAATAAATAAAATAAAATCTCTACAAGAGCATTTACAAATAATTTAAAAATCTAAAAAAAAAAAAATATTTCAACAAGATTATTTATTTTTTATTTTATTATTTAGCCTGCATAGATCCACATCGGAGCCATATAGCAAACACGAGCAGCGCATCAATATGCCAGATGAGGGCGCACAATCTTTGGATTCCAGTGCGAAGCCAACGCCGCCAGATAGTTCAAGTAAGCCAGGCCGTGCCTGAACTATGAGCCAAAAATTTGCCATCAAAACAAAACAATGCACCAAAGAATCATTTCCCACATTTCTACGTTTTTTTTTTTTGTCCTCAATAAAGCACCATATCATTTGATAAATTCTAAACAGAAACTTTTATTTTTAGAGACAAAAACTGAAACCAATTTCTAAATATCATCCAAAACTTTCGTAATTTTCCAATAGAAAATATTGTAAATCTATAATATGTATATATCTTTAGTTATACTCATTGATGAGTATGAGGACTTCGAGGAGGAGGATCTGAATTGTGAGGGCGAAATGGAGCATTTTCCATCGTGGGAAATTGATAGCGACATTGGCGCCGATGTCGATGTCGATGCGGATGGTGACTGTGATGAGTCCACTGAGGACACGGCGCTCCTACAGTGCGCCACGCGCACCGCCATTGTTATAACACCCATTAGCCCAGTGAGTAGCGAGATGTGAAATCATATCTACGCATACATATATAAATCTGTAATTAATCATTTCATCTCTTTCAGGTAAGCTCAGCACTTAATCTACAAAGTTTAAATGACCAAACTACAACGCTTAATAAATCAAATTTGCTTCCGCCAGATTCTGGCTAGTTAAAAATGCAATTGAAATTAGTCGATATGATATGATATGATATATATGATATATATAATAAATGCTTATTGTTAAGATCGTCGGCTGCTCCAAAGGCAGCGACGCTGTACCAACTTCTAGAGTATCATAAAAGGAATCAAAAGAAAAGGAGAAAAACAAAAAAACATTCACACAAAAATTTGATTTGATTTTATTTATTCGATCAAGAAGAATAAGAGAAAAGTTGTAATGACCAAAACTGCAAAACGCTTTAATAAATCAAATTTGCTGCCGTAAATGTACATACATAATATAAAATACAATATATATATATATATATATATAAATATAACAAGACTCGCAGATATCCTGTAAAATGACATTTTTAGCCACACATCAGTTTGTTGTTTGTACAATTGTTTTTTTTTTTCCTAACTAATTTTTAGAAATTTGTAGAATTTATTATGAGCTTGAGCTGTGTAGGGTATAGAAAAGCGTCAGCATACCAAAACATTTTCAATAAACTCTAGCTTACTGCGATAAAAGTGTTCAAAATGAGATGAGAGATGCAAGCGAAAGATGTTGAAAGAAAATTAGATATACCTAATATCTAAGGGATGCGATGAAAAACCGAAAGTATGCCTGAGAAATGATGTGAAAGAAGAAGTGAAGAAATCAGGCATGTAAATAATAGTGGAGAGTATGAAATGTGTGCGAATGAATGAGTAAAGAGAAGCGTGATTGTAGAATCGAAAATACAAAGCTAGTTATCTAATATTATAATATTGCATACATGAGCATGTGTATGTGTCCATTTTACTGACATGATTCGACATGATTTGTGTTCAAAATTGAGAAACGACACAACTAAAATCAATTGATAAATCAAAAGTTTAACAACTGCTTTAGCGAATAATAATAACGAAAGAATAAAGAACCGAAAAAAAAAATTAAAAAACAAAGCAAACAATCAAATCATATTGTGTACTTATTCTTTTGCTATTGCTTATGTGGTCTTCTATTATTTTTGCCTCTGCCTCTTATTCGACTTGGGCTCGTGCAACTCCTCAAACAGCTCCGTTTCCTTAGTCTCCATTGAGTTGCCAATAAACTCGATTTGCGTATTCGCATTGATGCGTATGCAGCGTTTCTTCGAAGACGACGGACCATCGCTGTTTACTTTCTTCTGCTCCTCCTCCTGCTCCAGCTCCTGCTCCTGCTCCTCCTCCTCCTGTTCCTCTTGCTGCTGCTCCTGCTCCTGCTCCTGCTGCTGCTCCTGCTCGTGCTCCTGCTCCTCCAGCTCATCCAGTTCGTCACCCTTCATTGTATCATCCTCTAGGAAAATGCTGCCATTGTGCACCTTACGCACATGCAACTTCAGTTGCGTCGTCGAGCTAAACGATTTGCTGCATCCACCATCATAGAAGTCGCGACACGTATAACGTGAGCCATGCACACGCTGCATGTGATTCGATAGGCCCTGGCGACGTCCGAACCGTTTGTTGCACGCCTTGCACTCGAAGGCAAAACGCTTGAAATGCTGGCCCAGCACATGCACCGACAGCGACTTCTTGTTCCGTGTGACGAAGCTGCACTGGTCGCAGCTATACGATTGGTTATGCAGCTGCGGATGGGAATAGGCGTGGCGATTAATAGACTGGTAAGTATTTGAAGGGGGGGGCCTTTAAATTGACGCTCTTATGGGCATGGCTCTGCTCGGGTATGGCTCTTTGCGGTTCCTTTTGGAACTCCATCAAATGTTGACTGCATTCTGGATCTCCTGTCTGCTGCTCCTTTATTATTATTTGTTGTGGACTCTAACTTCTGCTGCTCCATTAAAAGGTAGCTATCCTTGGCCTCTATTCCTGTCTGCTTCATTTAATTTAGTTGATTTTAGCTATTTGGATTTTATTTATGGCTTTCCGTGATTCTGGTTTGATGCCCACTGCTGGATATTTAGACCATTACCAGAACGCCCTAACATAAGCGAAACAATTGACAAGCTCTTTTAGACACTAAACTTTTAAGGAAAGTGAAATATGCTGTTAAAAAAAAGTAGTAAAATAAGCGAGCCGCCCTTTCTCATTCCAAAGACCTACCAAGAATCTTGCCTTAAAGAGGCTGAACAAGGCTTTAACAATATTTAACTTTATAAAATAATTTATAAAAGCTATGATTATAAATTTATCAAAGTTAGCATCTGGTATAAGCTCTTGGCCTTATCAGTTCACCAGTTAACCATCTCAATAGCAGAACCAAGCCATATAAAAAATCCTTGCCGACAAAATAAATACATTCGTCAATCATGTACCACTTGCCCAACAAATTCCCTCTCATTTCATATATATATGCATACTTAATAAATAAATCAAAGTGCATAAAACTCAATTTCATCGACTCACCCGCTGATGCGCCTCCATTTCGCTCTTATGATAGAAGCCCTTCTGGCAGACGCTGCACGAGTAGCGTTTATTATTCGAATGCACCACATTCATGTGGGTGTCGTAATTGCGACGATTTTTAACCACTTTCAGGCACAAACTGCATTCCATGGGCTCATGCCAGTAGGCGTGATGTTTAGTCAGAGCATCGTTATCCTTATAGGAGGCCTTGCACAGAGGACAAACGACATTATCTGGAAATGATCAACAAATTAGTGAGAACTTAAATTGGAATAGCGAACACTTACTATTATTATGACTTCGCGCCACATGCACCGAAAGCGACATTTTGGATCTATATTGCTTATGGCAGAACTGGCAGATCCATTCGTTCTCCTTGACCAGCGGCTCATTTCTCGCAATGGCATCGTGCGAGCGTCGCTTGTGTGTGTACAGCGAGTTCCAGTTAATGTAGGCCTCAGCGCAATCCTGCAGTCACATGCATTCAATAATATATTATATATTATTCTAAAATACACCCAGGTCTCACCTCATAATCGCACATATAGTAGATGCATATCTCTAGCTTGCGATGCAATACATCTGAGCGCTGTTGCTGAAAGTTGCGCAAATGATGGCGATAGAGTTTCATGTCGGAAAAGGCCTTGTCACACGGATGGCATATGAAGAGTCCGTCTTTATGCACGCCCGAATCGCGATGCGCACGCAGATCGCTCTTCTGCTTAAAGTATGCCGAGCAATATTCACAGACGTAGGCATTGCGCAACAGTTCCGCATAGGTCTCCAAGCCAATGCAGGCCGATTCCTCCGCCTCCACATGAGCCTGTCAAGCAAATCAATATACAGGATTAGCTGTTGTAATACATATATTTATAGCTGGGCTTACCTGCAGCTTCACTTTACTATCGCTGAGCAGTCCACAGCCGCTGCACACGTGCACCTGACGCTCGATGATCAAATGCGTCTTCATATGCAGATTGTAGGTCGCCTCTGTGGCAAACTCGCGGCTGCACAGCTCGCAGCTGATGACGCTGCCATGAACGGAGCGCTGGGGGCAGAAAGTATAAATCGAATTAGTTGAATATAAATTTTAAATTTAGCTAGTTAAGGCCTACGTATAACAATATTTTAGTTCTTTTAGCCTATAGCACCCACCAGATGACCGTTGAGACGTCCTCGTGTCTCAAAGTTGGCGCTGCACTCCGAGCAGCTGTAGGTGGTGCTGCTGACATTCGCATGCGATTTGTTGTGCTCCATAAAGACGGCAGCATCACGAAAGTTGCGATCACAACTAAAAGGTAAAACATATATAGAAGCAGGCAATATAAACTAATTGAGACCAAGCCTTACAGATCACAAAAGAGTGTGCCCTCCGGTTCGTGGGCATAATACAAATGGCGGAAGAGCTCATCGATGTTGTTGTCTGCGAAATTGCAAACGAAGCAAGCGCGCGGTCTGTGACGCTCCAAATGAAATTGATTGTGGAAATTAAAGCTGCAAGGCAAGGAAAATTACTTAGCAAAGAGTCAAAATTAAGAAGACCTATACGTACCGCTTCCACGAGGGAAACTCCAGGCCACACATCTCACAGTATAAGCGCATGCCTCGACGCTTTTTAATGACGTGTGCGCAAGAGTGTTTATTATATTGCAATATATTGGAGAAGGTCATATTACACTCGGGACACTTGCCATAAATTGGGATTCTAAAAGAGAGACAGAGAGAGAGAGAGAGAGAGAAACAATCAATAAATGTATTACTTTTTGCATTTTCAAGCTATGGGCTTACTCTGCCACAGGTGCATGCAGCACCACCAGATGCATGGCCAGATATTTGCGTCCTTGCACCTCCGCCGTGCAGCCTTCAATGGGACAACTGTAGCGCTCATCGGCCAGCTCATGACTTTTCTGCATGTGACTGAGCAGAGTTTCATATTTGCTGCATTTCAGCGAACAATGACGGCAGACAGTGGCCCAATCGAATTGCAAGGTCTCAAAGCAGGTCTTGACCACGGTCGATAGATATTCATGCAGATCGCCAATGTTGTCAGCTGGGAAAAGAGAGTCGACTTATTAGATGGTCTCTTTATATGAATTTAAGGTGCTTACATTCTTTAATTAAAACAAAATTAAAGGGCTCCACTTTAAATGATTCATCCTCGCTTTGACTTTCATTTTGCGACTGCGATTGGGACAAGGAACGTGAAGCGGCGCGTTTGACCTTGCGCTCAACTTTGAAATGGCGCACGTCCGCATCGGAGGAGTTATCTGCAAATTAAGAGTATTAACTAATGGGAATGTGGATAGTTAATGAACCCCTGGAAGCCTGTGGGTTCCTCTACTCACCATCTTGCTCCAGCAGAAACTCCAGCTCATCATTGTTGTCCTCTTCCTCCAGCTGTCCCAGCTGCTCTTCCACTGTCTCCTGCTGTCTCTGCTTTTTGCCAGTTTGCTTTTCCAGCTGCCCAACTGTGGGTGCTGCCTCGGTCAATTTATCATCGGCCTGCGGCTCTTCATCATCCAGAATGTCACGTATAAGCGCGCTGATTTGTTCCTGATCTGCCGCGCCAGCCTTGGTTTTGGCACTTCGTGTAACAATCTCCTTGGGCTTATCGGGCAAACGATTGGGCAGAACTGTTAAGATTTTATTAGAGGCTTTTGCTGCAGTTGTAGCCACGGCAATTGGAGAAGTTGCTTCGGGTTTTGGCAAATTCTTGACTGGAGAAGCAACGCTCTTTGTCTTTGGCGACGTCGGCGTCACCTTTTTAGCGGATTTCTCTACCTTTTTAGTAGCACTTGGTGGTAAATCCTCCTGCGGCTTGGCAGTCTTTTTTTCTGCATTGGCGGCATCCTGCTGCCGCTGCAGCTCGTCTATGTCAAAGAAGCGTATTAGCGTGTTTACACATTCTTGGCACAGCAATTGCGATTTATGGGCATCGGGCTTGACAACGATTTGGAAATATTTTGCCAGAAGATCAGCGAGCTCGATTTCGACGCCCACTTCATCAAAAATTTCTTGATATTGCTGCTTTGAACTGTGCACGCTGCAATGCAGGCAGCTAGGTCCATTTTCGTTGTTTGCTTTTGGATTTTCCGACATTTTAACTTTTCACACATAGCAATCCACACGCTAGACTACAGAAACGAGCGTCAGCTGAACGATATGAAAATGCTTAGTGCTGCAAAACGATAGCCCAACTATCGCACCTATCGCAACCAAATTAAGTACATCGGTATATTTTAGTGCATTTATTGTGCTGCTACAAAAACGTGCTAAAAATGAACGTAAAAACTATAATAGCAATGAATATCAAGAGTATCGTCAACTTATCGCTTATCGATAAGTGTTTAAAATTCAAAGATTGGCGGCAAGCTTAACTGTTCACACGCTTGAGCAAAGCGAAATAGCTGTAGGAGCAATTCACAATCTGCAAAGAGAAAATTAACGTTAAAACATTAAATTTATATGTTCGACTAATCGTACGGATGAAAAAGTAGTAGAATTGAAGCACTGAGAGTGATTCAATGTATGCATATGCAGCGGCTCATTAAAGCGCAACATCATTAGCAAAGCCAATTTCCGATTACTCCTGTTCCAAGTGGTCCAATCGGCGCTATATAGTGAATGGGATAGCACTGCACTCCGATAGCTCATCTCATCGGCCGAATAGCAAATAATGAAGATTTGCAGCAACATAACAAACTGATACGATGCCATCATGATCATAAAAGCAGTTTCCTTCGTCCTAATCGAAATGGCATAGAAATTGGAGACGAGCACCAGAACGGAGCAGAGCATCTGCACCGAGCCTGGCACCTTAATGAAGCCATCGACGAGATCCTTAAGCTGAAAAATGTGAGCATAGTGAACGCAACAATTGCGCAGCTCCCGAGCTATTCTCAGATTATCCTCGTCTGTTTCGGCCGTGCCCAAGCTCTCCAAATGGGAGGCCAACATGGCCAGTTGTGTCTCCAGAAAGTAGAGCAACGAAGGAGCGATCGAGTCAAAGGCAATGTTCAGCCAGCAGGTAGGCATCAGCGACATCACCTGATAGAAATAGAGGCCATAGTAGCAGCCGGAGCTGAGCAGATCGCACGGCTCGTACATGGACAGGGGCAGAGCATTGTTGTCGACGAACCACTGCATGACCAGGATCAGGCTGGCGGCCAACAGCGATGTGCACGCATAGAAATTCCGCAACTTGATGGAACGCTCGGCGCCGCGGCGAAATATCAACGCTTCCTTCTTGGAGCCGGGACGAAAGCACGACGAATGCATTGCCTCAATGAGCCGGGCATGATTACGATTCCTAAGCTTGATGCTCAGCAGCTTGGACATGCACGACACCTCGGTGGCAAACATGAAGAATACTTGCAGAATGACATTCAATTGGTCGATGTTGGCCAGCACGCGTATCGCAAAGAAGAGCAGCATGATGGCCACAATGCTGAGGATGAGGCAGAAGCGCAGTTGATGCAAGCAGCGCTGCCAGCGTGTGGCATGCCTCGGCACTTGCCACACGCCCAGAAAATTGAAATACCATACTTGATATTTATAGAAAGTTGACGTGATTTCATGATGTTCCGACATCAGTTGGCAGGCCATAAAAAAGAACTTTGGCCATAATCCCAGCTGCAGAGCCTTTATAAAGGCTCGCCGAGTCAAGGACATTTGAGGTAATGAGCTTTAATGAGCCGCTCATTATACGTATGCCATAATTTACACTGAAAAAATTTCGCACAGCTTACCGAACTAAAGAGCATCAGGTCGAAGGAATGGCTGCTGTTCAATGTTTTGATTCGCAGGGGCAGGTCCAGGCGCTGCATCAGCATCAGCAGCAGCCGCTGGTTCGTGCGATGCGCGCCAACCCAATTGGATTTGTATAGGTCGTGGGGCAGGCCATAACTGCGCTCGGTAATCTCACTAAATCGTATAAGATATATGCATATTATAAATTTATATATGTGGGTGGTATGACAGCGGATTAACTCACCCCGCAAAGTAGCAGATTATAAAGATCTGTGTGAGCATGCAGTTCTGATAGATCAACATCTTGAGCAGCAACAGCGTCTCGTCAGTTAACTTTTTATGTAAATATATATAAAGAAAAGCAAAAAATAAATTGAATATTAAAATGAAAATCTATAAAAAATATTTTGAAATTGATATTATTTCTAATTGTTATATCATAATAATATTTTTAATATTATACATATATTCATTATTTATTTAATTTTATATATTTTGCATATGGTCAAACAATTATTGCAAAAGAACAAAAAAAATTCCAGTAAAGAGTTTTCATAATTAATTTATCATGAATTTTAAAATTATTATTATTATTATTATTTTTATTATTATTATTATTATTTTTATTATTATTATTATTATTAGTATTATTATTATTATTATTATATATTTTTAAAATGTTTATTTTAAAGTTTAATATTTTTATTCATAATCAATATATTTATTTTGTATTAATAGTAATTTTTATATTTAGGTTTTACTTATTCTATATGTAATTTTGTATATTAATAAGATAACAAAGACTCGCATATAAAAAAAATTAATATCGAATAAAAAACAACCTACTTTTTTTTTAATAAAAATAATAATATGTTTAAAATAAATTGCTTAACAATTTTTATAAATTTTTAGAACAAAAAAAATTATTTAAATAAAAACACCTATTAGTAAAAGTTTCCTTAGAAAATATTTAATTTTAATATCTTTTGAAGTTTCGCCCTCTCCTCACTCACCTGTGACATGGAATAGAAATTGGCGGTTAGGACCAGCACAGAGCAAAATATCTGACCCGAAATGGGCTTATAGACAATGGCCTCCATATCGGCTGTTAGCTCAACGATTTTCTTGTGATAGTGAATGCAACGCTTCAGCTGCAGCAGCATTTCAGCATCCGTGGCCATCTCTGACTGGAGGCCCTTTCCAATGGATTGCAGACGCAAGGCAAAGATATCCAATTGGCCTCGGATAAATATGAATATGGAGCAGCACAGCGAATCGAAGGTGATGTTCAGAAAGCAGGCCGAGGACAGAGCGCAACAGTGATAAACATACATAAAGCGGAAGCCAAACGAGCCACGCTCCCCATGAAACGGATCATAGGTGGCCAACGGCAGTTGGGTATTATCGATGGCGTACTGAGTTAGCAGCATGGTTACCAGAGAGCAGAGCGAGACGGTGCTATAGGAATTGCGCGTGGTGCGACTGAGCTGACGGGCGTTGAGAAAGATGCGTTGCTCCTCGAGGCTGAGAGGCTTAAATTCAGCATCATGCATATGGGCGAAGAGTCGATCTAGCTCTAGAATATTGAACTTAAGCGACAATATCTAAAAAATATTCGTTTACAGGGTATTAGAAATTGCTTATGATTATATTTTCGAGCACTTTACCTTCAGGGCGCAGGCAACGCAGGTGGCCAGCAGAAAGAAACCTTTGATCACCTCATTCATGTCGCCAATATTGATCACAATATACATCAGCAACAGCAGATTGAGCACCATTATAAAGAAACCAAATATCAAAATAAAATTTGCCGTATGCAGCCAGCGTTTCCAGGGTAGCTCCTGCGGATACAGCGAAGAATAGTGCATGATACGCTGCTGGATCGAATAGAACGAGCTCACGGAACTATCGAAATTCAACTCCATTTTATGGAGCACTTATTCAACAACTATTGCAGCGCCCGAGATGGGCTGAGCCTTATAAAGGGATTTTGATGAGCAATTAAAAACGCATTAATGCTAGCTAATTGGTGGCAAACATTTAATGCTTAAATGGCGCAACTGTAAGTAACTGTAGTAATAGAAAATAAATATATATATATAAAAAAAAAAAAAAATACAAATATTGATCATATAAAATAAAAACTAAATATGCATTTTTAATACAACAAATAAATAAAAATTGTGTAAATAAATATTTAATAATTTAATATTTATCACACAAATATTTATTAAACTATCATCGCATCGAAATATATTTTTATTTTATTTGTTTTTTTTTTTTCTATTTATAATCTATCTATAAATTGCAAAATAAATTTTAAAATATATAATATGCAAGATTGAAAGCATTTTATATATTTTTAAATTTATTTTGCATTTTATAATTTTATCAAGCCTTTTTAGAAAAGTTAATAAATTTTCTTTAATAATTTTATATTATTTTATGTGCAAGTTCTTACTTGATTTGATTTATTTTTTTTATATTCTATTTTTTATATTCTACTTTTGTTTCATTGTGTTAAATTTTTTATCATTTTAAAATTTCAATCACGTTTCATTTTATCTATTTCAACTAATTTTTATAGCAAATTAGCATATTTATAAATATTTATTAGTTATTTTTAAATAAACTTTTTTTTATAATATGTTCAAGTATATTAAAACTATAATTTTATATTCTTTATGAACTTTGTGAAATTTGAAAAATTACATTTGTTATTACACATTAGGTATCACATTTTTTTAATTATTATTAATTTTAAGCTTGTTAAGAGTCAATGAAAGTCTAGGTAAAAAAATATATTTGTATTATATATTATATTATTTATATTTATATATATTTTATTTTTTTAGACCATTTTCATGTCTACTTTTTTGAGCAGTGTTTGCCCGCTAATCGTTTACTGTTGTCTAATAAGCTCAGGACCGTTAAGTAAATATACTAAATTATTTACAAACGCATTGCCGATGGGCTCTAATAGGGCTTAAGCAATTTTAATTGAAAATTTTAAATGAAGTTTAAAGAAGAATAACTCTTGCAGAAATTTAAGAGGTGGAAAATGATGTCAAGAAATAGTAATAAATACATAAAAAAAATCAATTCACCTCAGTAGGGAAAATTCGTTGGATTGCAGCAATAAATGAATCCCGCATTTGGATTGTCAGGCAGAGTGAAAGGACATGCGACAGATTGACAGGTGGATAGAACTGGTGGACGCTGTCGCTCGAATATGTTGTTGTAGGAGAGGAACGCATAGAGTCCATTGCCCTGGGTGTCTCGCACCACCTTATAGATCCACTTGGGCACCGGCAGCTTGTCGTTGGCCAAGCAGGCGCTGCGCTCGTTGCCATTTTCGTCCTGCAGCCTGAGAATGTCGATGCCGCCAGTCCGAATGCGAAATGGCTGCTGCACGGTCACCTGATCGCGTAGCCAACGCTCAATTTTCTCCCAATTGCCGTCGTTGATGCTCTTGAACTGCGGCACCACATTGATGTAGCGAAAGGTGCTGGCCATCTGATCACAAAAGAGAAAATCAGCCGAGGGCACCAAATGGCCGCGATTGATGACCAATTCTCTGGCGCTGGGCAAATACTGTTGCTTCTTGCCAAACACAAGCTGAAATTCATCGTACATCCGATGCTTCATATAGGCAGCGGCCTCAATGGGCTTCACTATCTGATCCGTATCGAAGTCCACCCAGGGTCGTTTGGCAACTAATAATATGTATTGTATATAGATATGTAGAATAGATCACAGTTAGAGTAGGGGTATTCCACGTACTCTACACTACTCTATCTCTACCATACTACATATTCTATATAAACTGTTCTACTCTACTTATAGAGTCTACCTTAGTCTAAAACAATTTAGCTAATGCCTTACAGTCATAGTTAAAGTAGGGGTATTCCACGTACTCTACACTACTCTACCTCTACCATACTACATATTCTATATAAACTGCTCTACTCTACTTATAGAGTCCACCTTAGTCTAAAACAATTTAGTCTATGCCTTACAGTACTTCTTGAAGTAGACATCGCTCTGGGAGTACAGAGCACGTCCATTGTGCCCATCGTAGCAGGAGCGATACAGCTCCAGTTGTTGTCCCTCCAACTTATAGCCCACTATGTACAAGGTTTGCGGACAGTCAGAGTTGCGTCCATCTTTCATCACAGTCGTCTTCATTGGCGAACTGCAGCTCATTGGCAAGGCCACCGAAAAGCTGCCATTATCCTGGCATTCGGTCTCCAGCACATCCTGCTCATTGCAGAACATATACAGCTTCAGTCCACTGGGCACCGGCTGTGCACGCAAGAGCTGGAGAGCTCCTCTGTCATCACGATAGGTGAATATGCGATTCGTGTTCTCCACCATGTATTGGCTTATTGGGCAATCGGCTTGAACACCTGTTTCAACTAGATATTTCAAGCTACTGTAAATATCATCTATATAGCTATGCCTTACCCATCACAGCAAACAGTAGTATTAGTATTCCTGCCAAGTATTTCATGTCTAAAAATTTTGCCAACACATCTAAAAGAAATTTTAATCGAATTTTTTCAATGCACTAAAAACTACAATTTTGAGTACTTCCCCATGCCAACAGGGTTGCCAGAGTACTATAAAGTTGATATTTGATAATCGATAACATCTCTATTTAAATTATGTACGTTTTTCTACGCTCAGCTTCAATCAGAGAAACTTGGAGAATTTACAATCTCTAGGAAACGAGCGATATGGTATTTTAAATAATGAAATATATATAAGATATTCATATTCATATTTAGATATACTATATAGTTTAAACTCATCATTCAAAAATCAGAAGTAGTATTACTCTGAGCAAATAGACATTTTTGTAACTCGTATTAGGTCTTATTCCTAGTATACCCTGAATTCATTAACTATAAACCATATACCCTAATAATCTTCTATTCCTAGTTTTCTGAACAACTTTTGATAGCTAAATCACATTTGTACAATTAATCCAACCAAAGAGAAATCATATACATTTCATATTTACAACAACTGAAATGCTTTCATAAACAAAATACAAATTCAATTAGAGCATTAAAAATTTCGGGGTTTTTTGTTTGTTTTTTTTTTTGACAGTCCACTCTTGGATAACATTTTATTGCTTTTTATCACAAACAATGGATAAAACTTGTTAAAACAATAGATGTTGTTTGGTTGTTAGCTGATATCAATTATCCGACATTTGTTGCTCCAATGCTCGATTTTGTGGTACTGTACTTGCAATTAATTAATTAATTATATAGGTGTGTATGTGTAATAATTTGCTGATTTTTTAATAATTTTTTTATATATTTTTTTGTATTTTTTTTATAATTTTTTTTTTTAATATTTTTTTTTGTCATTTTTTATTTCTACTTGAACTTTTTCATATGAAATTTATATATCTTTGCTGTCTGTGATATATATTTTTTATACATTTATGTATATTTATAAAGGTTTAAAGAATAAAATAATAAAGCTTACAACATAAAACATGCAGCAAAAGAAAACAAAATATTTGAAATGAAATCAAATGCAAATTTAAAATGAAATATTATTTAATTTCTTTTTTTTTTTTAATTTTTCTGTTGGATTAAATGGAAACGCAGGCAACTGAATGAAGGGGATAAGAACAGAAACTCTTTAAGAAAATGTGGCTACTTGTTCAAAATTGCTGCGCGAAATCTCATACAAATTGAAACTTATATAGAAATAAGAGCATATAGATTTATTAGAAATCATGTATATGCTCATATTTGTGTGAAAAAGAACTGTAATACGCGTGTGTATTATTCATAACAATTGTGTGATATAGCTCGATTTAAATGCTAAATAACTATACTTTTCTTTATCATGGTTAATCGGTTTGTACCAGGCAATAATAGCATTTCTACAACTAGCTCTGAAGCTGCGATAGACAATTTTAGTTCAATTGTTATCCTGCTTATTGATCAGCTTCAATATAACCTTGCCGCCCTGCACATCCAGGGCATAGAGACTGCCGTCCTTCACCTCATTGTTGAGCACCTCATCGCTGACGCTGACAAGTATGCCCGATGGCCCCGATATGTAGACGCAACTCTTGTTCACCTCGTTGAAGATGTTCGAACCGCTGCCCGAATATTTCGAATGCATGCCCCAGTTGTTGTATAGAGCGGCAGCAGCCGCCGCCGCTGCTGCTGCTGCGGCAGCTGGCACATTGCCGCCATTCTCCAAGAGGCCAGACGAGCCGCCCTTAGCCATGAACTCGTAGAAACCGGGCAGCTTATAGATCTTCTGCTGCAGCTCCTTGGCCGTATTAGAGAGCAAGTAGATGGCATTGTAGCTGCAGCCATCCATGCTGGCATAGAGCGTCAGACGAGGCGTAATGGATCTGCGGGTAATAGAAGCGAGGTAAGTGAATGCATTGAAAATTGGAGAATAGCTGTGGATTGTATATTGGATTAATCTGGTAGTGGAGTAGAACAGAGAGATATTGCAAATTGAATATAGAGTGAATTTGTCATTGAAAGCTTTACAACTTCCACAAATACTCTCCACTTATTACAGATTAATCCAAAACCAATTTTCAGCTAGTGTCATTGCATTGTTGCTAGCCCAACATACTTGGCGCGCAATATATTAAACATGCGTATGCCGTCGGCGAGTCCACAGATTTGTATTAGATCCTCCTTGGACATGCTAAATATAGAAAGAGAGAACATAAATATGTTAGAGCAAAAGCCTATATAGTATTGTACAGAGAGCTCTCTCACCGCATAATATCCGCGCCCGAGAAGTGGGTAAAGGTGTTGAGGTAGGCCGTCAGACGATGATGTGTCAGCCATTGTGTGACTTGTGCGGGCGTTGATTCGGGCATAATATTCTGATTCTATACAAGAGAAAGCCACAAATTAGTTTATGCGTTAGCTATATATATATATAAATATGTATATTTAGCCTACATAATCATCCATATCAGCTGGCACATGCTGCGGCGACACCATGCTTGTGGCATCCATTAGTTTCAATGTTGGCGAATTTGTGGATGTCACCGAATTGATTGCAATTGGGCTGCTGCTGGCCGCCGGCGATGCGCTGCTGGCAAATGGCAGCATTCCATCATATTTTGGTATATGAACCGGCGAATTTGGCCACAATTTCATACTGTAAATAGAGACAAACAAAATGTATGTATATATTATTATATATTGCAATAGTTGAACTATATTTTAATATATACAAATGCAATGCTCTTGTTGCTGTGCGTTTTGAGAGAGACGGGCGTGATCCTTTGAAAGCAAGCGCATGTTCACGAATGCCAGACAGCAGATACACAGATTTTACAGATACACATACTTATCATGTAGCCATATACCAGTTTTCTCTCTCACATTCTTGCTCTCTTTCTCTCTCTCTTTCTCCCTCTGTCTGCCTCTCTATTGGTACAGTTTATGCTCTGGCACACTTGGCCTGTTTTTTATTACTTTTTATTATTATATATACCATTCATATATATACATATATATGTATATAGTCATGTCTTAACTACCTTGACATCTGATACGCTTTGTGGCGGCTGATTAAACCCCATCAAATTGTGCTTAGTCAACCAGCATTTCCATACACTTGATGACCTTCAACTTTTTAGCTATGCCGAATTTGGCAGCAGCCGCAGACAAAAAATGCTTTCAGTTGACCAATTCAATTAGCATGGGAGCCCATTTTCATAATATTAGTTGTTTTTTTTTTAAACTAATAAACATTATGAAGACTCTCAAGCAAGTGGCGCATAAGCGCGATAATTAATTGAATGAAAAACATTCTTTAGTAAACAAGTGGCAAAAGCAATAAACCAGACTGAACAACTAAACTATACCCTATAATAAATACATATGCATTTAATATTTTAGAGCGTATTGAAAACTTTTTCACATTTATCTATATATAACTAATTTAATTATTAAAAAATTTTTAATATATTTTTAAATTGTTGTGCATTTAAGATTTAATATTATTATATATTTATATATATTTATTTCTTAAAAATTATATATTTTTAAATAATTAAAACACCTTTTCAAAACATTTAATAAATTGTAATTTTAATTCTATTATTTGAATTTTTAGAATTTTCTATATTTTGTGTAGAAATATTTTTTAGCTCAGAATATTATATAATTATATAACTCGCTCTGCAAGCTAATCTACCTTTCAGTTGTAGCCACATAGGGGGTAACACAACCGGTTGGTAACTATATATAATTTCTACATTCTTCACCACATATAAACGCAAATACTTGTCATTTTATTAATGATCCATGCAAAAACAAGACCGGTTCGGAGCAGTGTAAGTGGAGATTATTCATTACAGAGAAACCGTACAGATTACGAGTAAATCTCTTTGTACAGCTCTTAGTTCAACCGAGAGGAGATAGAAAGAGCGAGACATTGAGAGCGTAATGCAAAAATATATACAAAAAAATCAAAAAAAAAAAAAAATAAAAAAATAAAACAAAAAAGGCAATTATTTGCTTATAAAAACAAACAAACAAAAAAGCGAAAAAAGTGAACTTAAAAAAAAAATAGTTGATTTGTGATTTACAAAAGGTTATACAACAAATTCCCATAGGTGCTGAGTACCCATTGAACAATAAATAGTTGTAGATATAAATACATATTTATACATCACTTGAACTTGGGATTGTTCTATGCAAATAAAGCCTCAATCTAGACAACGCAAAAAACTGGACTACTTAGTATTTAACTATAAACTAGTTATTCATAGCCCAAAGCATCATAAATCAAAAGTTTTATCATTGGACTGTGACGACCATAAACAATCAACTAAATAGAAAACTTAAATACATTTATATAATAGATGATATAATGTTATATATTTCACGGAAATAGAACAAATAGTTAAAGTGAAACAAAACGAGCGTGAATTGATAGCTTAAGCTGGATTGAGCCAAAGAGCAATGGAATTGTTCGAACAATTGAATGTGTAGTGGAAAAGCTAAATGATAATATAGAGTTGATGGTATAGAAGTTAATTAACCTAAGTTAAAATTAAATAAATAAATAAATATTCCTATTTTTTTATAAATAAAAAATTGTATAAATATATAACATTAAATATTACATATTTTTGAATATAAAAAAATAGAGAATATAACTTTTTAGCTCAATTTAAAAATATATTAAATATATATTATGTATAAGTATTTCTTTTTGTAAATATATATTTGGCAAAACAAAAATATACACAAATACAAAAAAATATATATAAAAAATATATATAAAAAATATATATAAAAAAAATATATATAAAAAAAATATATATAAAAAAAATATATATAAAAAAAAATATAAAAAAAATATATATCGCAAAATTTTTTTTAATTATAAAAAAACTAAATAATTATAAAAAACAAAAGAGTATAAAAACTGTTTTTTTTTATGTCTTTTGTGTCACAAAGTATATAAAATAATTAAGTAACAATAATTTGTTTGTTTATATATAAATAAAAAAATAAATAAATAGTAAAAAATTAATTTAAATTTAAAAAAAAAAATATATATATATATATATATATATGAATCGTTGTACTTACTATTCTGGACTATAGCCGCCAGTTGTGATGGCAGGCGTTATCAAATCCAACGATATATCGTTCATGATGGTGCACTCGTAGCTGGGCTGAAACTTGTCCTGCTCGGACTGCGGACGCTTCTGGATCTTCTCGCGATCCTGCTTATGCTTGCGATCGGCGCCCTTCAGCTTGAAGACCTGCCAAGCATTTGAGAATCGTTTGCTAAATATACATATTTAAATTAATTGGGGCCAGCTCACCTTTATCTGACAGGCAGCTGCATGCACTGCCTGCTTGCCATTTGCATTACGATTATCCGTCTGAGCCGGTGAGGTAATGGCCAATCCGTTGTTGTTGTTGTTGCTAGTTGTATTGCCAGTGCTGTTGTTGCTGCTGCTGTTGCTGCTGCTGCTGGAGCTGCTGCTGCTCGAGCTGCTGTTATTGTTGTTGTTGTTGTTATTGATATTAGTATTGTTACTGTTATTGTTGTTGTTGTTGTTGTTACAATTAGCAGTTGTTGTGTTTTCTATATAGGTTTCAATTTGTAGCCGAAATGGTACACCCTTTTCACCACCGTGCTTCTTTGGTGTAAATTCGGTTGAAATGCAATTAACCTTGATGTAAACACCGACCTCCTTCAATGGATCCCAAAAGATTTCAACAGTGTTCAATGCGTTCGCACTCAATGGCTGCGAGACATGGCACAGGCCATACGATAATGGTACATCCACCTCGATAATGCGATCACCTGGACGCGATGCCTGCCATTGCTGCATCTGTTCGCGTTCCATGAACTGCAAACGACGCTCATGGAAACAGATTTTGATAACGCTCTGCAAGAAAAAAATATGAATAAATGAAATGAACACTCATAAAAAAATGAAAATAAACGCCCAAAATGTACAAAGTTCAAGTTAAACGCACAAGAAAAGAAAAGGCATAAGAAAAGCTAGATTTAAAGCTACTCAAAATTTTGTCTGATTGCCCCATGAGACATTGCCTCTGCACGGATGACATGCTTGAAGTTGTTTTGCGTATAAATTAAGTTTAATTGGGGCATATTAAAATCAATTAACATGCAAACACACGCACACACACACACACACATTAATATTGTGCCACACAACGGCGCTCAGTCTCCGCAATCGTATATTGTCAACGAGCTCAGTTGATATAGTCTTAATAGAAACAACCATAACAATAACTCAGCCAATTTAAACTAATTTTTGCCGTTTTTTTTTGCAAATTAGTTTGAACTCAAGGCGAGTAAAAGAGTGATGATGAGAGAGAGCAAGAGTGAGAGAGCAAGAGAGAGAGAGAGAGAGAGAGAGAGAGAGAGAGAGAGAGAGAATGTCCATATCCTTGCATTGCATTCTTGACTTTTTACTCACCTTCAAGATCTTATCGCGATAGAAAGACAAATCTCCAATTTTCTTCAATTTGATCTCATAGCTCTGACCCTGATTCAGATAGGTCAATGTCTCCTCATTGTTCTTCGTTGCAATTGAGGTGGCTGCGGCCAAAATGTACTGAAATCTGCAAAATAACGAAATAAGGTTGTATGAAATATATTATAGATAATTGGAAAAATAGGAATAAAATTATATATATATAAAAATTATATATATAAATATATATATATATATATATATATATATATATA